TTACCTTTATATTTTATTTTAATAATTATTTTACTTTTAAATTAGAATTGTTTTTGGAACTCCGAGCACATATTTTTTTCATCGGAGGCGCTCTTTTTAAATTATCGCCAATCTTTTACACTATATATTTAAAAAACAATTGACTGGGGGCCGCTGGCCGCTGCTGTCCATTACCTTCAATTATGATCCGCGAGTGTTGTATAACATTGACGTTCGAACTCGTGACGTCTTATTAAGCAAGACTCTCATATTATATTAATGAACCAAGACAGCTAAAAACTTAAGTTTGTAATTATTATAGATCCAAAAAAAATTTCATATTTTGACACAAGAAATATAGGGATCGGACTAATCTTTATTTTGGTATTGCAGAGAATCATGTAATGCTAAGGCCTCACACCTATCATCCGGTAGATCCACTCTCGGCCACCGAGATCTCTGTGGCGGTGGCCACCGTTAGAGCTGCCGGCGACACTCCTGAGGTATGCCCCCATCAAAATTATACTTTCTCCATCTTTAAATGAATTTTACTCTCTGAATAACGTGTAAAATGTTGTAACTTTAATTTTTTATATTTACGAATTAGTATAGAAACAAAAAAGGGAGAAAGACAAAAGTAGGACTAAAACATTGAAAATATACCAAAATAGGACTTCCATGTTTTTATTCCCGAAATAGGACTTACATTACCAAACATGGTCATATACATTACCAAAAAAGTATAGTAATTTGCACATGTACACTGCCACATTACCACAATGCAAAGTCACATTACCATAGTGCAAAGTCGTATTCCGGGGAAAAAAATATGAAAGTCCTATTTTGGTACTTTTCTCTATGTTTTAGTCCTATTTAAGGTGATTTCTAAACAAAAAATTAAACTTGCATATCTAAAAATTGCGTCAAAAGCAATACTTCCTCCATCCCATAAAGATGTTCTCATTTTGACTTTAGGTAGATTATTAGTAAAAAGATATAATTGTCAAAGAACTAATTCAACCAAAAGCTCAATCTTGTGATTGTGGCCTAAGAAAAGTTATTCATATTCTAATACGTCCCCTCACGTGCAGGCGTAGTTTTTTTTAGCCTTGCACGTGAAACTTTAATTTTCTTAAAATTGTGACTTCGAACCTGTGACTTCTTAGTCAACAAGGCTCCGATATCATGTTAAGCAACCAATTCAACCAAAAGGTCAAGCTTGTGATTGTGTCCCAAGAAGAATTATTTATATTCTAACAATAATGTAATAAGTATGTCATCAAGAATTAGTGGATGTAAGAGTGATCTTTTAATAGAAAATGAAAGAATTTTGTGGGACAAAAAATGGAAAGAGTTTTTGGGACGAAAGGAGTACAAAATAAGAAGTGACAAAATTTTTTTTATTTTATCAAATGATTAATTGAAAATATGTAAATAAATAAAATTATCGGGATACCAGAATAGTAACCGTTTGATCTATTTTGAAATTTTGGGATAGTACATGATTTAAAAGTAAAAGAATAAATACGAGGCACATAAACATTTTCTTTAACGTTATGTTTGGTTTGTGAAATCTGAAAGCAAAGGAAAAGTAAGTTGTTTTTTTCATTTTCTCAACAAATATAAAGGAAATTTGTTTTTTCTTATTAGTTCATTTTCTTCTCTTTTTCATTTTCTTCCACTTATCCTTTTTTGCTCTCTGACCAAATAAGAAAAATGATTATCTCCCATTTTTTTTGCTTTCAAACTTTTTGAACCAAATATAGTGTAAAGTAAATAAATAATAAAATCTAAATCAATTAAAAAGGAAAGTGATTTTTTAGGACAAACCTTGAAAAATTAATGATCAAAATTAAACACTTTGTTAAAAATTGTAATTGGGCTATAGAAAACGAGGTGTGCTTTGTGTAGTTCTTTTTAATTCAATTTATTTAAATAATGATATAAATTTCAAAATTTTAATTACTTTGTATATAATTTAAAACTTCCGTTGTATAAAATATTTCCACTTAAAAAGTAAAATTTAAGGAATGTATAATTTTGTCATAGAAAATGCTACTCGCATAACGCAATTAGTAGATTAATAATATATATATATATATATATATATATATATATATATATATATATATATATATATATATATATATATATATATTCTCTGTCTAAAAAGAAAAAAGGTGACAAAGATCATAGTATTTCCATTAAAATAAAATTTGTTTGATCGGAGCTTGCCGGAGTTTGGGATGGGGACTTGCCAGAAAACACGGCTATTTGTTCAAGGTCTAATAAGCGACGGCGGCGGCGCGAAGAAGAGAAATTTCGAAGCCGCGACAGGAGCTAACCTAGATTAGCTTGTCAGAAACTGGAAATTTTAGCCAGTTGATGATTTTTAGACATTTATGCGGCATTTTTGTTAAACTTTTTCATTGCAGTTCACATTTTTGTGATTGATTCAAAGAAAAAGAAGGTTTATTTGGCCTGGTTTTTTTCAAATTAGATTTTAAACTGCTGAATTAGAGCCCCCGCCCATTTTGTTGCGGGTGAATACACCTGTAATTGTTGTTGAATTTACTGAATTGTAAAAAATATTTGAAATTCAGAGCATATAGTATAGGATATTATAAGGTAGTGTTTGGAAACTAGGAATTCATTTGAATTTCTGGATATACGAACGGAGTATTTGTGAATAATTGAGTTGCAGTAGTATTCATGTGATGAGGATATTTATACACGTACAGGGCATGTAACTAAGCCTACAAACTAGGAGAACAACCTATACAAGTGGAAGAGAACAAGTCTAATGCTATAAACAAGGGATAAACACACAAGCTACGTAACAACTATTCAAACTATGCATTCTTATCTACTTATCTCTAACACACCCCCGCAAGATGGTGGAACCGTCAGAGACACCAATCTTGGACCGAAATTTAGTGAATAAGGTAACACCCAAGGGTTTAGTGAGAAGATCCGCCGGTTGCTCGGAAGTCGGAATGTGCCGAACTTGTAATCGATTAGCAGCGACAAGATCACGGACAAAAAAATAATCCAAAGCTAGATGTTTCATGCGGGAATGAAAAACGGGATTCTTGCAAACATAAGTTGCCCCAAGATTGTCACAGTAGAGCACCGGCGCACGAGAAATATGCACACCAAGTTCATGGAGTAAATTTTGGAGCCATAGAGTTTCGGCAGTGGCATGAGCGAGAGCTCTGTACTCCGCTTCGGTGGATGATCGAGAAACAGTTTTCTGACGCGCAGATTTCCAAGAGACCGGATTGGACCCGAGATAAACAGCATAAGCAGTAGTTGATTTTCCGCCATCATGAATAC